CATTGTCAACATTTAACACTAGATTAACTTCAGTTATAAAACTTCTATTATATGATAACTAACTTCAGGTTTAAAATGTCAACCTCACTTTTGACATATTTGTAACCTTCATTAAAAATCCTTTAAAATGAGTACAAACACGACATATTTATCTTCAATATTAATAAAGTTATGGTCAACTTCCGGTTAAGAATATCAATTTTGACATATTTGTAATCGTCGTGAAAAATCCTTTAAAAACGTGTTATATTTAAATCCAATATTAATCGAGATATAAGTAACTTCCGCTTGGAAATGTCAATGTCATTTTGACATATTCATAATTTTTATAAAATGTCACAAAAACAAAAGTATAATAAAAAAAATAAAAAATTAAGGTTGGTATTAATATTTAAAAATTAAATTGCTATCTTCATTGTTGCTAACTTAGGGTTTAATGTTTTTTATTCTAACTTTTTTGTTTTTTGAGATAAGTGCGTCATCTTTGGATCATTTTGCTCATTTTAAAGGTTTTTTAATGAAAATAACAAATATGTCAAAATTGACGTTGACGTTTCAAACCGGAAGTGATTACATTTCCATTAATATTAAAGTTAAATATGTCGAGTTTGGACTCATTTTAAAGGATTTTTTATGAACTTGACAATTATGTCAAAATTAAAAGTTGAAAGTTCGAATTTTTTGGTTTTTTGAGATAAATGTGTCAAGTTTGGACTCACTTTAAAGGTAATATGTAGTAAAATTAAAGTTGACATTAACAACTGAAAGTTTTTTTCACGTCTAAACCCGAATGTTTCTAGTTCTCGTTCTAGTTTTAGTTCAATAAAAATATACAACATATTAATATCTTATGCTAACTAGCGCTACGTACCACTGCCACTAGAACTAACACTAGACCGTGAACTAGAAACATTCGGTCGTATCTAATGGTAAGTCGGTTCTTAGACGTATGATGCAAATCGGACTTGAAATCATATAACGTGATTGGTACTTAGCTTTAGTTTAGCTTTTTTCTAAAACAATAAGAAATAGACCTGTCAAACCCTATATTTTTGTAATCAGAAAAAAATAACGAATTTAATAAGCGAATAATCAGNTTATTGTTTCATTTTTTGTTGCTATATCTCTACTTTCCAATTTTGAAAGGCTCTATTTGTGTCAGTTTCTTTCTTTTTAAAATAACAATCCTTTTCAGCGTGATTGTATTCTTGCAAATTCCACATTTGTCTTTGACAGAAACAATGTCTTCCACATTTGACAGAAAGCAAGTTTTTTCTACCGATGCAAACAAAACTGATTCATTAGTTAGTTTACCTTTTAATAATTCTTCTTCTTTTATTAATCTTGATATTAAGTTTGTTAAGGTTCTTTCATTTATAGATGCAGACTGCCATGTGGTTCTGAAGAATTTGTAATTATTTGGCACGGTTGTTAATCTTTAGCATTAACATAATAACCAAGATAATTGCGCTTGCTGGTTTTACGATATTTTCAATTTTAGCCTCTCGCGGAAAAACAAAAGACGATAGCGCTATGAGGTTTTCGGCATTAGCAGTTTCTCGAAAAACGAGATCATGACATGTAAGCTACTTTTTTTCTAACTCTTATAGTTTCCGATTTAGCCTATTCGGACATCGAATTTGAATCACCCTGTATATAGTATCTCTATGTGACTTGATCTTTATCCAGAGAGGTGGGTTTTAGCCAGCTCAATTGGAGCAAAGTAATACTCTTAACGTTACAACACTTAAACGCAAATAGGATCAATCACACTTAAAATAGGACTTTACTAAATAAATACTGTTTATCCTAACAATATTAATTCATAAAAGTTAATAAAATGACTTACCCTTTAAAATATAATTTTCGTATTTTCGCTTAAATTCCTGTTGGGTACCCAAAAGCCCTTCATTAACAAAATTAATCAAACTAAAATACTCGGTGAGATCATTTTGAATAGGAGTACCACTCAATAAAACGCGACGCTTCGCCTTTAATCCCATCAAAGCCTGATACGTTTGATTCTCGCAATTTTTTAATCGATGCCCTTCATCACACATCACCATACCTATCTCGCTTCGATGCAAAATATCGCAGTGCATTCGAAACGTTTCATACGAAATAATAAGCAAAGGAGTTGCAGTACGACCCAACGCGTGCACGAATTGCATCAATCGTTTCCTCATTTCTTCTTTTTTTAACCCACCTTCCATTACTAATGAGGGGAGACGACCTTCTAACCACTAAAAAAAATTAATTAAATTAATTAACATTTCTTTTAATGAATTAATATAACCTTTTGTATCTCGTTAGCCCAATTCTTAACCAACGAACTCGGACAAACAATAATAGCCTTATCAATACTTGGTTTGCACTCGGGTCCTTGACGCAAAAGTGACCACAACAAGGTGATACATTGCAAAGTTTTTCCCAGGCCCATTTCATCGGCCATTATGCACCCGAAAAAATCGGGGATTTGTACTCCCGTGACACAATCGTACATAAACTTAACTCCTTGTCTTTGATGTGGCCTCAAAACATTACTTAAAATTGGATCGACAACGACGTGGACTAAAATCGTATCGCCGTTTTTTAATTTATCGTGCTCTGAGACGTCAGGGGGGACATACAAGACCAATGCGTTCGGAGTATTTGGATCGTAAAGTGATCGGCGGGGTCGGGGTCTTCGCATTCCGAGGGTTTTCGTTGAATAACAACTGACATAATTGGGTATCGGGCATTTAAACGGGCGGGATAAAATTTTGATGATTTCCTCCTAAAATTATTTGATTAATATTGCTTAAAAAAAATAATAAATTTTAAACTTACATGACTTTGAGCGATATTAAGATTTTCATCTGTGGCTTTTTGTGATACCGATACAACTTCTCTTCGCGTCCTTTTTAACGTAGATCCTTTTAATGGTGATGAAGACGTCGCTGATAATCCCGGATGTCGCAAAACTTGACTGCGCCGCTAAATTTATTGAAAAATAAAATTAAAATATTTTGAGGTTATGTTGCGTTTGTTAGGTTATCATTTTAATTGGAAACTTTTTAAAAGAAATCTTTTAAATTACTAAATTGTATCTATTAAAATATACTTACCATTTTAAAATTTGTATCAATTATTAAGTTTTCGCACCATAAATCCGAATTAATCGTTCAAATTTGATGAAATTTTGATTCAAAACCATTCAAAACTTTGTATTAACTGATATGGATGGTGTTTATTCCGGATTACCAACTTCAAAAAAACAATTAAAAAAAAATAATTATAATAAGGAAAATTAAGATTTTTAATCGATGATTATTAATTTAATTAAATTAATTTTGTTATTTTAATTAAATAATCTTTTAATTTGATAAACGGGACGTAATTAGTTAAAAGTAGTACCCTTGTTTATAGATATACATAGTTATTCAACCGATCGAGTTGGGTTGCTCTAGCTCGTGCTGCCTCTAACGGCGAACGAGAAAAAGATTATTTATGAATGAATTGAATAAAATTGGAAATCCAACTTGTAGTAGAAGTTGCATACTCAGAATAAAAGGTTAATTGAATTTATGTGATTGAACACGAAATTGTTTAACATATAAAATATTTAATTACTTTAAGCATTACATCTAAATATTTTAAAAAATATCTGTCCTTTTTTTATAATAGAGAACCAAAAATTAACTTGCTAATTAAATAAATCAATTAGTACTTTTCTCGGATAGAATAAAAAAAACCAATAATTATTTTCGGTTTAAATTGTAGTAAAAATATAAAAAGTCAGTTTTGATTTTTGTTCGTCCTATTGCAGACTTAATTCCAGACGTGGTAGCGCCGAGCGTTCCTTTGAGCAATTGGCCGACCGACAGTTTAATGGATCACACATATCAAACGAGTATGTAGTATAAACAAAGTTTTTTTGCTACTACCCGAGTTTGGATAAACGACTTCACGTATACAAATTCCTTCTTTATTATTTCGTCATTAAGAATTCTTTGGTTAAAATACAAATACGAAAATTAAGAAATATTAATTAGAATCAATTAAATAAATAAAAATAAAGTATTTCTGATTTTATTATACCAGTGTTTCTAAATTGATGTGAAAGATTTCAAGGATGATTTTTCAGCGAAAATTACGGGGTGTCTTTCATATAACTTTTTGTTCAAAACCCCTTCTCCTCCAAGTTATAGCCCTCTAAAATTAAGGGAAAAATGTGCAACTTTCTTATCTCTTGACATTTTACAACTAACAAATTGTTAATTTGATCATAAAAAATAAAATAATGCCGAGATCAATTTGACATAACTTCATTTCTTTGACTAATAATAATTAATCTCTGAATTAATTCACTTGAGCCTATGTATTATTTTATTTTTTTGTGATCAAACTAACAATTGTAGGAGAAAACGTCAAGAGACAAAAAAGTTGCGTATTGAATCCCACTATTTAAATCAAGTTTTTAAATAGAAAAATGTAGACGTATTAAAAAGTTCTAATGCAAACTATTATGGGGTTGATTTGTTCAGCCTCTTGTAATAACATTTTCGGGTTATAGAAATCGTCATAAAGTGTCATTTTATTAACAACAGTTACCTGCAAAATTTCAATCTTCTAAATTCCTCCATAGTGGATTTGTTAAATAAAAACAATTTTTTCCCCTAATTTTAGAGTGCTGTAACTCGGTGGGGAAGGGGTTTTGAACAAAAAGTTATATGAAAGACTCTCCTTAATTTTTGTTGAAAAATCACTCCTTGATATCGCAATTTAGATACAGCCTGTATATTAATGAACTTTTTTAAGGTTGACTTTATTGTGTTGACTGAACATAATGAAAATCATTAATACATAACAACAAAAAACATAACAAATCCTGCTAACTACTTATAATTGCAAATTACAAATTCCTTATGTTGTAAAATAGTAACTTTATTGCTTATTTTAATTATGCACGGAAAGGGACACGATTGCTGAAATAACTAAAATGACTTTTGTTTATGGAGCAGACAGAGATACTAATTATGCCCAAAATTTATTCGAACAAAGATTTCTAGACAGAAACATCCTATCTTTTGTAAGATCCTCAATAGAGAAAAAGGCGCTACAAGAAATTCAATGTTTAAGCTGCTGTTCGTAATAATCCATATATTTAAAAAAGGACGCGACAAATTTGTAAACTTTACGACAAATTACAACAAATTAAGCAACAATGAATGACGTCATTAGTTTTTTGTTATCTCCACTCTTTACCATAGATTCCCACTGTCAAGTTAGCACTACCTCAAAAATGCAATATTTCAAGTATTGTTTATAAAAAAGGAAGCGACAAATTTGTAAACTTTACGACAAATTACAACTAATTAAACGACAATCAATGCAATATTTTTTTTATTGAAATCGCAAGATGTAGTGCCAACTTGACAAAAGACTTTGCATCAAGAGCTTTAGGAGAATGATATCCAAAAGCCAATTTAATTTTGTTATTAGATACAAGTATGTTTTATTGGTTACTAGAAAATTTTTGTTGGTTACGTGTTATTGGTTTCAGTTAATATATTGTGTGGGATTATAGGTAACTTTTCAATTGGCCCTTACTTCAAAAAACATGTACCCTTTGAAAAGCATACTTAACAATTGAAAAATATTCATGGCGCTTCTAATATGCAATAAAAATCGTTCAGAATACTTTCCGCTTTTATACGATGAAAGTTTTATCTGAAACTTTTTTGATAAAATTGATGTTTTATGAGTTATTAGGTAGTCTCAATTTGAATGCCTTACTCGGTATATAAAATATAGTCTTTTAAACAAACTTCTTAAAAAGATTCAACGCAGTTGGTTTCCTTTCATAAAACCTGTTCATACACCTACTTAAAAAAATTTGGCGTCTACAAATCGGTACCAACCGACGAATAGTCTTTTACAATTCGATGTTATTCTCGAAGGACACATTATCGATTTTTTTCTATGCAAGAAATACTAAAATATATGCAACTTATTTTACGTTTTTCGTAGTAATACGTTAGGGCGCGTATAGTAAAATTTAAATTTTTATTTTTATTTTATTACACATAAATTACCCTGCCATCTGGGTATCATGTGCACAAACTAACATCGGTTGAATAACTATGTATATCTATAAACAAGGGTAGTACCCTTGTTTATAGATATACATAAGGTTTGTTCCAACCAGCGGTTTGACTCGTCGTGACTTGTCAAATGCAATCGCACAGTTAAATAATGCAATGAAATCCGCTGAAATGTGACGACATCACTTGACATGTGCGATTGCATTTGACGAGTAACGGACGAGTCCGACCGCTTGTTGGAACAAACCTATAGTTATCCAAAGAATTTAATTCGTGATCGTGATGCCTAGATGGCAGGGTGACTTATGTGTCGCCATTCATAAAAATTTAAATTTTACTATACGCGCCCTAACGTATTACTACGAAAAACATAAAATAAGTTGCATATACTTTAGTATTTCTTGCATCGAGAAAAATCTATAATGTGTCCTTCAAGAATAACACCGAATTGTTGAGACTATTCGTCGGTAGGTACCGATTTGTAGACACCAAATTTTTTAAGTAGGTGTATGAACTGGTTTTATAAGAGGACACCAACTGCATTAAATGTTTTTAAGGGGGCAGTTCAAAGCGTCCATTTTTATATACGCCGGGAGAGGTTACGTAGATGTACATTCACGACTTAATGCTACATATTTATAAAAAAGTAAATGGGTAGGTTTGAAGTACATATATAACTCTACGGAATGACATATTTAGTATTCTAAAATAATCATGACGCTGACAGAAATAAATTACGAAAGTTAGTCATAATAAGGGCTTAATACAAATCGTTCTCTAGAAGAGATTAGGGACTTAAACGAGGTGGCAAATATGTCATCTAATGCTTATGTATCTTAGAAACAGATTCCGTATTCGTAAAAGTGCAATAGCTGTGTGATTATTTCATGAATGTTTTTTTTCTGAAGATATGCAATTTTTCACAATTTTTAGTCATTACGAAAAGGTGTAAAATGGGTTGCCTAAAATCGACAAAACAGTACTAAGTAAACCTTTGGCAATTACTTTGTAGATGGCTTTAGGTACTAATTAAAAATTTAAAAAAAAATAAATATAAAACATAATTAATTGCCAATAAAATGTTATAAAACGTATTATAAATTGATTACTAATCTTGAGTTGGTAATAACATTTGATCATGGCCAATTTCTCTTTTAACTACTGAGTGAATAAATACATATAACAGATAGAAGATTTGTAGGCAATTATGAATGAGTTGCTGATCACAGTCCTTCCGCCCTAATTTTTAGTGATTATATTAACACTGAGAAAGTAAGAAATAACAGAGCAAATTGTTATCAAGATATAAGAACATAAATAATCTAAAGTAAAGTAATAATAATTTGTAATAGACATAGATAACAATAATACTATTTATTCACAAAAAAAACGGTTCTACATTATAAAAAATAATAAAAATCAATAACAACTTTAATTTGATTTTACAATAAAAAAACCATCTTAGAATAACAATTTTTACAAAACTATTTCACAATAAAAAACCATCATATACAGGATGTATCTGAATGACATGCCCAAACTTCAGGAGGTGATTCTTTAGGCAATTTTAAGGGTACTTTGATATATAAACCTAGACCCCTCCAAAAATGGCGGAAAATTTTGGTTTAATTTTTTTTTCTCAAAAACCATAAACACTAGGAAAATGAAATTTGGGGAATATGTTTAACTCATAATAGGGTACGTTTTGACCCTATTTGTACTTTCAACCTATCCTTCTAAACTACTAAACGTAACCACTCCCTTTACATTTTTGCTAAAATTTTTTTATGCAGAGAGTAAATACATTAAAAAAAAAATTACATAGGTAGATGAAAGTATCCTAAAACTTTTTTGTCTCTCTAAAATTTTGCCAAAAACTACTAATTTTTGAGAAAAAAAATAATAAAGCAAACACTGCCCGTTCAACAACGGGGTTGTTGATCAAAAGTTGGAATGAATTTTTAATGAAAAAATCTTAGT